AAAAAAAAAAAAAAAAAAATGTACCACTCGCGATCGAACTACTCGTGCCTCGGACGAAAAATCAGACCAGGGGTTTACTTCCGATATTATCTTTTGTTGGGTGAGGAAAAAAAAAAAATCAATACACCCATCTTCCTTCCTACATACCTCGATGTACTTCAGAGGAAAAAATGATTAAACGTCAATGATTGATCTCTTACTAGATCACTGCGAGTACAAACGATTTTTCCCGATGGATTTACTCCATAGACACTATATGTATATCGTGAAATCCGAGCCCTCGAGCCTAAAATGGGCTGCATATCATCCGAAAAAGAGAGGCTGGGAGTATCAGGCTTGGCTCTGGGGGGAGGGGGGGAAGCCTGAACCAACAGCCCCTGGACTGACTCCACTTGATTAAAGCGAAAGCTCTTTTTGTATCCAGTTAAAAAAAAAAAAAAAAAAAAATTAGCCAAGTATTGTTTGTCCGAATCCCAGCTGCTAAACTGATGGTGTAGAGGCACATCCAACGTATATATATAATGCGTGGCAGCAAGACCAGCTGAACGTTTCCATGTTGGGACCGGCCGCTCGTGGAACGATATTACGTCAGTCACGCCAATGAGAGTCTTTCGCGCATAATGATAGTATATAATACACACGCGCCACACGAAGGAGAGAGAGAGAGAGATAAAGAAAAGTGCTCGCGTCATCGGCGCGTTGACCGGGCGCGGACTTCCGATCGAGAGAGAAGAAGCATATAGTGGCAACAGACGTATATGCATAGAAGGGGATTGGGGAAGAAAAAAAAATGTACGTATATACAATAGCTGGCCTCGTGCAGGCCGTGCGCCTATATACACCTCGGTTTTAACCGGAAGTCGTAGGAAGTCGTCAATTGGCCGATTGCTCGCGGTGACTGTGACGACGGCGACGCGTCAGCCAAGCCCATGCAAGGAGATGCTCGAGCTGGTACATGAGCACGTTGCCAGTCCATTCGGGGACTATCGAGACGTTTGCTCGCGAGCTAATGCCGCACGATTATCCTCGTGCGTAGGTATATTACGGCTTGTGTATAAAGTGGCACTGTTTGTCGAGAATTAAAAAAAAAAAATGTATTCGATAACAGTGGTTTATGTACTGTTTTTACAATAAGCCCCATCATTTAATTAAATTTAACTAAGGATAAAGAGTAACCGGACGTAAAATTGGGTCTACGTGTTTCGAACAGTCTCGACTAATTTGCAGTTTGTTAATCGCCCTCCAAATCGATCAATCGGATTTTCATTTCAAGACAATTTGAAAATGTATAAGGATGTTGAGCGCGTATATGGCAGGATAAGTACTTGACCTTTTTCTTTTTTAATTTTTTTGTACGCGGACGGTTAATTTGTTGATGACAAATCTTTTCGCACGCATAGAGTCAAAGAATTTCACGGGGATGAGTAAAAGAGAGATCACGGCAAAGGAACGAGTGTAGCTGTATAAATGTGTACAGGTATAACGAAACAAAGTGTATTTACGCGGTTGGCAAGGCTGCCGGCTAAGTATACGCGCCCAACTGGCTGTATAGGCAGCTCGTTCGATACCACCACTGTATATTTATACTTACCGCCGTGGATCTTCTCTCGGTATAGACTCGAGCGCGGAATGTGACCCTGGAGAGGCTGGAGTGGAAAGAAGGAAGTGCCGACGAGCACAGGGGAATCGATGTCCGCTACAAGTACAGCAAAAGCAACGGAGAAGTCAGCCCTTATATGGATTCTCTTCTCTCTCACCTCCTCGCCCTATACACCTGTACACACCGATGTACTAAGTTCACCTCTGCATTTCTCAGCCCCGTTGGCCCGCTGTACCTACTACCTACCACTACTATACCACTCGTTTTCCCTTTTTTGACCGAAGAGTACATATTGGCCATCCAGTTGGACGAAAACACGTCAAGCAGCCTTGATTTTACGTTTATTGTCACTCGCGGTAGACATTATATGTATACCTATATGCATTCTGCGGAGCCGCCGAAAAAGCTCGCGTGTAGTATATACATTTGACCAGGTCACCAGCACGTTCGCCCCGTGTGCCTGTGCGATGCGCCACTCGTGTGCTCAAGCCAAAGCTCCGTGTAGCGCTACGTAGAAAAATTCTGCATTCAAAAACACGACGCGACTCACTGTATCCACTTTTCAAAGCTCAGCCCTATCTCGTGTCCATTGGCTTCTGTAATCGGCCGAAAAACAAGCAGAGTAGGCCTCGGTTAAGAAAAAAGCTTTGCCTGCAATGAAGTATTTTTTCCCTGTGGGCGCGCGTGTGTGGATACCCCGAAAATTTTATCGAGGCAGCAGCCCCCTGTTTTTCTTGGCGCAGCGCCGACGTCGCACCACTGCTTACCTTCGGCTCGTGTTGTTGGTGTTTTTGTGTTTAGCTAAGAGTGAAAGAGAAAGAGGTGCCATAAGCGCTACTTAAACATCAAAAGAAAGGGGGTAGGTATACGTGTAGGTGAGGTAGTGCAAGAGAGATAGAGAGAGAGGGGGGGGGGTGGCTGTTGGAATGGGGGACCGGGGGAGTACGAGACAACCGAGGACGCATACCTAGTGGGTAGAATATAGGTGGGTGTACACCCACGCGTTGAAACTGAGCCGAGAGTCACGCGCGCTTCTTTAATTATCTTTTCATTTAGTATTCATGAGTAGTTTATTAGACGAGTAGGCCGACGCCGATCAAAGGTGCCCCCTCCCCAACACACCTTCTCTTACTCTTATACTTTGCTTCTTTCGCTGCTTCCTCCTCTTACTTGCTTCTTTTTTTCTTTGCCACTCGAGATGATTTTTTTTTTTTTTTTTTTTTGCCTCGGTGACGCTACGCGTTCCGCTCGCCCACATCCTTGCTCGAACGAACCCGCCTTTCTGGTGATCCTGTGTGCATTTTTTTTCTTTTCTTTTACTATTTCCGCTGATCTTGGAACTAGACAATCCACAGATAAAGCGTACGGGTTACCGTTGTAAATTATTTTAAACTCCGTATCACACGAACAGCTATTCACAACGAGTTTGGTCGAGTGTCTGGCCAATTTCGGCTTTTACTACTTAATTTGGAGAACGAGCGCAAAACGTGTAAAATACGACGCACCTACTTTCCCACCGACGAAGGGATGTTCACATCCTCTTTCCTGATCATTTCGTCCCGAAAAGCTCGAGCTGTTTAGCTGCACTTGCGGCAAAGTGGGTCACGCGACAGTATCCATGTATATGGCGACTGCAGCTGCCCTACCAACTTACTTTTGCAAATCATGTTGCGGTCCGGTACAATTGGTACTCAAACTATATATGAACCCTTTTATTCGGTACACATTGAGAGGACACTATTTACATTGTAGTCCTGCCGATTGTAAGGACGCGAGCCGAGAAAATTCCACGAGCTTTCGGTACGTGTTTGTCAAACACACAAGTACCCGTATCTGCGCTTTCCAAAAATTTCAATCCAATCATCCGTACACAGAGGCATCAGCCGCGCGAACAGAAGAGAAGGAGAGAACCCGCGCGAGTTTATGAATGAACGCAGCGCTCTATCTATCGGGTAGGGAAAGGGGGGTGGTGAGGGGTTTCACCGTCACTGATGCTGTACTATTGGTACGTATATATACGTGTATAGAGCAGCGGGAGAGAGGAAGGAAAGAGACGGCGGCACAACGCCCCCGCACTCGCTCTCCTTCAATCTTTCTTTCTCGGGCATCGCATAGGATGTATACGGTTATATGTAGGTGTAAATATGGATACACGCGGGAGGAAGCTGAACAACTGTTGCGAGAGCTTTTTTCCCTACATTTTTATTTTTGCGCTTCGTATGCACCAAAGTATAAGTACATCACTTCGATGAGAAGTACCCCCCTATCTCCCCGAATTTTATCCTTAA